GGACTTGCGACTCCCTATTCAACAGGTTAGTAAATAAAGAGATAGTAATGATAAATAAATTGTCTTATCAATTAAAGAACTTTCCTGGAAAGGAGGGCTTATAGGATTTTATATTTACAAAATATATATATATATCGAATGATTAAACGATAGTTACCATAGTTATTATGTATAAATATTTACATCATGCTGTATAAAAGGAACTCATTTTACAATTCATCATCAAGTCAGTTAAATTTCATCACCAAGAGTACAAGTCGTCATTCATTCAATTTTTGAAGTGAAGTTCTATATTGTAACGAAACTTGACTACAAAATGGTCAAAGTAATACAGTCCGTGGTTCTTTGCATCTTACTTGGTTTTGTGTATGGTGCGCCAGAAGACGCTACGAGTACTTTTCAACACAAGGTGAGGTCGAGGGTGACGCTACATTAAGTATTATCATGTATATATCGCTCTTAATTTCCTTCTGAGCATTGTGATTTTTTTCGGTATAGATTTATTATAAAATGTTTGAGTGATTTGTATTATTTGTAAAATGCGCTATTTAACTGTTCCCTGATACACCGGATATACATTTTCAACATATTTTTTCTCCTCTTTATATTATAATTATAAATAAATAATGATTTGCTATACGTATATTTGTTTTCAACAATATTTTACTTAAATTAAGTTAGGCAGGTTTAATGAACAAAAATGACCAATTTATGCAATTCATAACAAACACTTGTTTGGAAGTTAAAGTTTGCTTGTTTAAACACTTTCGACGAATTTGACGACCTCAAAAATGGACACATATTCATTGCTTTGTAGCTTTGAACTATTAATGGAAACTCATTTCTTTTTATTTTTATTATTATTGCGGATGAAGTTTGAGGAAACTTTCGATGTCGAAGGGCAAACTTTGACCGAAAAATTGGAACTAACAGATGACGGTATTATAATAAATGTAGAGGATCAAGATGGGTCCATTGCTTTGACAGTGTCCACTGACTACACTCATGTAAGTATTACGGGAAATTCTACATGCCAAGTCTTCAAATCCCCCATGGAGGGCAAGCCTTATTTAAACTTGACGTTCCTTGCTTTTTAAATTGGTTAGATTCAATAATATTATCGACATTGTCCTGTATACAAACAATATATTTGTTCTTAATTTTTTTACAGGGACTGCTTATTCATCGATACCATCCCGATGACAATTGCTATATATCCAGCATAGCGCAGTATGATGACACAAAATCGGTAAGCAAATAACGTTATCGTTCACTTTCTCCTACAATTTATCATTACCGGGGAGAATTTCATCAAGAGTTGATATCCTTATTCCATTAAATTTTTATTTTAGTTTTTATAATACAGTAAGTCAACGGATATGACATACTTTCTTACACTCGTCACTACTCCTTGACGAGAGTAATTGACCCACGTTTACACTTGGGTTAATTAGTCCCGTCGAAAAATAAAACAATGAGGGAGAACATTTTTAGAAGAGTAAAAAGGAGGAAAGCGGGAATACAAAGGAAGTGTACCCCATGAGTTTAGTTGCGGATCCAGCAGTGGGCGAAAGGAGAGCTCGATTATCACCACTCACTAAGTGTGAATTTTCTATTAATTGACGACAAACACAAAGCTATAATATCCCGACGCCGATTTTTTTTAAATTTTTCCAACAATTTCATAAATCATGATGTTGAAAAAAAGGCCAAAAGAAGGATACCTAAGGCTGGTTTTTAGACATTATTACGGAATATAGTATTAGGCGGCCCAGCTAGTTACCCATGCTCAGATGCACAACGCCTTGCACGCTCGTGCGGCGGTCTGGTGAGGCAGAGTAAATGGCCGAGCGAGGGGACGAGAAAGTAGTAATTTTTATTTGGACTTAAGTCTGAATGAATGACACTTCCGCCTACTTAGAGGTGCCATACTCATTATAACTTTCTTACCTCAGCCCCAGCTATTTCTCCTTCTATTTCAAATTTCTGCATTCACCAATAATATCTTATTTATTTCGTCGTTAAAACACACATTTAGAATACATTGAAAAACATAATTTAAAACGAGCACATCTAAAATTCCACAATGGAATTGGAGGCCGGGATCCAAAAAAGGGCCTTCTGTCTCAGAAAGCCACGCAAGGGCCAATGGCCCCAGCGTTACGCCACTGTCCATGCTTGAATAGTCTTTTCAAACATTTATGCTTATACTATATTTATTAGGACTCTCACAAAACTTCCTCTTGGACAGTGGGTTCTAAATTTAGAGCTTAGCGGCGACTCCCAACATATAATAGACTATGGTCCTCTATTAGACCTTTGTGATGCCCGTGTGAAGGGGTGTCTAGTACCTATTTTTCCCTCACCCCCGTCAGAAAATTTCTAGATCCGCCCCTGGCAAGGCACTTTATATTGCTTCTCTCCACCCAGATGTATAATTAAGTGGGTACCTGGTAGGGTTAAATGCCAACATTTAGCTTGAGTTTGTGTTTCATAGGCGTATTATTATTATTATTATTATTATTATTATTATTATTATTATTATTATTATTATTATTATTATTATTATTATTATTATTATTATTATTATTATTATTGGAAGATCTGCGTCAGAGGAAGACAGCTAAGTTTAAAAAAGTTGAACATTAGAAATCATTAATTTTTCTGGGGTTATTTGCTAGGTTGTAATTTTTCGTTGAAAACGCGTTGAAACAAAGAGTTCTATTGCAGCAAATTGAAGACTCTGATGATCGGAATTATTAATAACGTCATAAGGTTTGAGTAACTTTTTGGATAATGCGTATATATAATTATCTGTGCCCAGCATATAAATATTGCTTGTGCAATATTTTCGTTTAAACAGCGCGACCTTTATGTATGTATATGTATATATGTATATGTACTTATATATGTATGTATGTATATATACACATATATTTGATAAGCTCTATATATATATCTAGGTGTATCATTTGTATTTTGTATTAGAATTTAGAACTTTTCTCTTTTCCCTGTAGTTTAATATGTTATTTGTATAATTTTGTATTTTGTTGTGGATGCACCACTGAATGATGTGTGCCACCGATATAAAGGTGATTCCATTGAATAAATAAATAAAATAAATAAATACAGTCATACCTCAGCATACTTCTTGGTGGATTTATTTGTTCCCTACAGAATTTGGAAGACAATTATTTTCTTATTGTGAATATGTTCCTTAGAATTTTATTCTCTAAAAAAACCCTCTGTCATATATTTCACATTTTGAAATGCACTTATGCCTCCTGTTATCAGAGTAAATAGGAATTATTGGGGCCTTTTTACAATTTCGGTTGTTTTCAAATTGCCATTACGGTTTTTGGCCAATCGAAAAAGTTGTTGTTCTCCTTTAGATATTAAAGAAAGCTAAGAATTCACAGATTCTTTTCATATAAAACTCGTCCCAAATGTTTACAAAAAAAAAACGAAATACTAATTTCTATATTGGGGAGATTCAAAATAGTGCGAGCCAGGTCCGATAATGCGGCATGGTTTTTTAATAGTTTATTGAAATGTAAATAATAATTAGGCCTATGTCTCATTTTTCAAACGCGTTTCCAATGCTATAAAATGTTACCCTCTAATGAAATGGATGAGTTCAACTGATTAATCCTCAAGGATAACAGCTAGACCGATTAAATAGTATTCCTATGTTGCAAAATAACGCTAAGGAATTCATAGAGATTGCTGAGTACAGTTACTAAATTTGCTTTCAGCTAAACAGCTTTGTAACAATATTGAAAAAATGACTGATCAAATGCATAGTATTTAATGTATCGCCATTGTCTTGATCATTTCAGGCACAGGAAAGCACCTCAGGTGTTTTCAAGTACAGACTGGAACCAATTTCAGAGATTAACCGTTTTTACTACAGCCACACGGCTACCGACTCGATGAAAGGCGTTTGCAATGGCACTGAAAAAATATTATGGAGTGAAATTCATGCTGCTGATAATGAGCTGAACACGCGACAGAAACGCGCTTGCAGATTCACGTGCTGGCCTTATTGTAGGTCTTATCGGACATGCTCTACGGCTTGCGGATTGAAATGTGACTTCTAAAATAATTTGATATAGCTTCAACATAATAATAGTGGTATAATGTAGTGTGTTTTCATTTGATAGTGTAGGCCTATATCACGAGTCTATAAAATCGGAAATAATGTGTACAAATACAGCGAATTATTTACCTCTCTGACCATAGCCTACACTAAGGGTTTCACCAACATTTAATTTTCATTATTACAGATTTATTCATTTGCATTTAGTTTAAAAAGAAATACGCTGTGCTCAGCGAATTATACTAGACGAACGTAACAAGAATAAAATGCAGAAAAAAATAAATAACTAAGTGATAGAAATCCGACGATCTTGCCTATGAAAAGTCGATGATATATAGGCCTATAAATGTCAATGCTTATTAATAATAAATTATGTTGTATGTCTAAATTCTTCTTTTTGATTAAATAATTTCCTTGTCGATATTCAATTAAAAACATGTTTCGTATACATTATGAAATTTAATATATATATATATATATATATATATATATATTCTATGTATACATATGTATACATAATTATAATATAAATCAAGATAGCCGTTAACACTCTTAAATTATATCTAAATCATCAAAGAAAGACAAATACAGTGTTCGAATGAAAGACATGATGGTACATTGTGTGATATAGTTCTCAACGAATGTTGTTTTACAAATAAATACATTGTGTTATAAAATAATCCGACGGGATTCGAACCTGCGACCTCTCGAAGTCAAGGCGAGCGCCATAACCATTAGACCACAGGGGATTCACGGTTGTACACTCTATTACACATTGGACATTAAACCAGATACATTTGGAGGTACAGCTGGAAATAAATAGTGCATATATTATAAATCAAAATAGCCGTTAACACTGTTAAATTAAATATAAATTATCAACGAAGGGTAAATACAGTGTTTGAATAAAGGACATAATTGTACATCGTGTAGCATAGCTCTCAACGAATGTCTTATATAAATAATATAAATAAATAAATACATTGAAACTTTGATATATAAAAAACAATTAAAATAGATTAATTAATTAAATTAAATTTTTCAGGTACAAACTCATCCGCATTTAAAATAAATTTAAAGCCAAGTAACTTTTGAATGTATAATTATTTAATCCGATGTATGATATACAAAACAACATAAGAACTTTAACAATGTTTGTAGGTTTTACCCGTGATACTCACATGAGTGACGTCAGTAAACACTGTCAAAGCACTGGATCCTTGTTGAGCCTCTACATCTATTATAATGCCGTCATCAGTTTGTTCCACAGTTTCGGTCAACGTTCGCCCTTCAACATCGAAAGTTTTCTCAACCTTCATCGTAATAAAGAAAACGTAATAATGTGATTTCCCTTATTTGAGACATAGTGTAGACATCTTTTCCTCTCTGACTTACGACAACAGATGAGTTTGGAAATCATAGGGAAACTGAAAATAGGGAAAGTTTTGTTGAAGGGCATAGTATGCTTGACACGATTATACCATCGTGTTCCTATTTTAGCATAGATGTGTATAAGAGACAGTATATATACATATACGTATGTGATATATGAAAAAGGCTGTCTCTTATATTCAACATTACAAAACAATCTTTTCTAATAGACTTAAACAATAAATATCTAGAACAATTTACACCTCAGTACTTTTTAAGAGGAGAAGGGAGAGAGGAATAATAAATAATTTCAATTTAAGAACTTACTAGGAAAAGAGGGGCGGTAACGATTATAGCGTCGATGAATAGACTGAAAATTCAAGTAAGATTCAAACATAAAGATAAGTGCCTAGTCCCATTAGTGTGGAATGCTTTCCTTCTTCATCGTTGTGTTATTGGCCGAGGTACTATTTATAGGCCTACCCGACAATCGACTTAGTACTAAACCTGATGGAGCGCGCCGTATAGTCTTCTCTTACTCAGCCCTAAACTGTTCAACCCACCCCAATTATGTTTTCAGACATCTGAATTTAAAAAAGATGACTCCAGCTGTACTCAACCTAAGAACCTGAAACAAAGACCAAAATAATGCGTGTGTACGTCATTTTGCTAGGCCTACATATTTTGTATTAATAACTCATTTTTCATTTTTCTACTAAAGACTCATTATGTCACAACTCACATTATGTACTGATTCTAATGATAATAATAATAACAATAATAATAATAATAATATTATTAATAATAATAATAATAATAAAATTATTTGGTCTTCATTCTTTTTGAATTGTGATGTATTATTTAAACACACTTTGATGTTCAGGACTCGACGATTAAAGGTTCATTTTCACAATAATATATTTCCCACACGATTAAAAAAATGGTAACGGTAAGGGGTCTGGTCTACAGGAGTTCGTGCTTCGAACAGATCATTTCATTCTTAGAAGCCTTTTGATGGAGAAAGTGTAGCTTATTAGCAACGTTTGCCTAAGTGGAATATAACTCCGGCATTATACAATTAGAATTTGAAATAAAAGATTAAAAAAAAGAATTCAATTAGAATTAAAATTAGAATTATGATTAACATTTTAATTTAAAATTAGAATTATTTTAAATTAGAATTTATTTTAATTTAAAATTAGAATTAAAATTAAAATTAAAGTTAAAATTTTAATTTTAATTTTAATTTTAA